TTGCCTGTGAGTAAAGAAACACGCTGACAAATACACGAAGTTGGTGGATACGTATATGATTATTCCAGGGTTTTCATTCAACAGTTCACGATCTCAGCAGCGCATCATCGTCAGGGCAGCATCCAGCGTCAACCTCGGACAGCAGTCACCCTTTAGCGTTGGGCGGGGCGCCTCCACTGACGGCTGGAGGCACCCAGACGTCCGCGCTGACAGCCGTCAGTAGCCCTTCTGGAAGGTTAGTGAGTATCCATCAACTGCTTGATTGGTGAAGGAAAATTTTTCACATTGAATGTTCCCGCAGGAAGAAGTCAGTCAGTTTTAATTAAAGGATAAATTTAGCAACAGCAGTTGATAATTTGAACACAGAATGATGACAGCGTTAATTAAAATTTACTTCAGCTCGTCGGCAGGTGGGCAAAGGCTAGATTCAACGCCACATTCGGTGGATACTCCAAATCAGTTGCTCAATACACAGCAGACCAGCGTTGATAATATTTCTGATGCTGGTTTGTTTTTTTGTTTGCTTCTACAAAAAACTTCTTTTTTCTCCATTCCCCCTCCCCTTCCTCTACCCCCCCTCTCTTAACCGTTTTTATTTTCTTGTCAACTTCACTGTATTATTTTATAAAAGAAGAAAAAAAAGATTTTTTTCTTTTGTTGTTGTTTATTAATTTCAATTTATCCTATTTATTTTTGCACAATCCCTACTATTTCTTCCATCTATTTAGAAATCCCACTCTTTCACCTGATTGTCAGATTTTTTTCGTTTTGTTTTTTTTCCCGTTTTATCTTGTAAGAACTATGTGTTATGTGAGTACATAATTTTTTTTTGATGAGGAGTTAGAAGGGATTGATTTGTGAAATTGGCTATGAAATGAGACAGGGGATACAAAGAACAATATTTATTTGTTGTCAATAAACAAAATAAGCTGGAAAACAAGTAGTATCTTTGCTTTTGTTTTGTTTTTTTTCTCTGTCCCCCTCCGCCCTCCACTTCTCTTCAGTCTTCTTAGTCCTTAGTTTTTAGTTTCTCGTTTTGGCAGGAAAATCACTCTAAAATTTCATGCATAGATTTATCGTCGCACAGTCATTAGTCTAAAAGCATTTTTTTCCTTCATTTTTTTCTTTTATTTTCCGTTTTTCATAGGGTTTTTTTTCTGCAGCAGAATTTGATGTTTGAGTTATGTTGTTGTAGGGCTGGAGAAGTGGGGAGGAGGAAGGAGGAATGGGGAGATGGAGTCAGTATAAAATCTGAAATGACCCGAGAGGGACAACGAAATGTTGTCGCTGCTCTCTTCTAAGGCGAATATGGTTGATTCTTTAGAAACAGCATTTCATCAGCAGCATTTTTTTCCCACATAGCGGTTACCCCCTTCTCCCTCTCTAAAAAAAAAAGGCAAATTTTTTTGCTTATCGTAAATGTGAAGATATTATTAAACGGAAAAAAAATAAAGAGTAAAATTTTGAATGATTTTTCACAGAGATCAACAAATTTTTTTTTTT